GGACTTCTTTGAGCAGTTTTGTAGGAATGGGGTCTAAAAGACACGTTGATGGTTTGGAGGAAGTAATTATTGAAGTTAACTCAGAAAGATCAAGAAGGATGCATGATCACATGATCACATGGATGTTCAGTCTGAGCAGCTGGAGCTTCATTTCCTGCTTTCAGGAACAAGCTGCACATGAACAAATGAGAGGAAACTCGGAGTCTTTATTCTCTCAACTGCAGACTCGCTGCAGGGTCAAAGACTAAAGATCAAAACAATCACTTAATATAAAAAACTGAATTCAACATTCAAAAGAAAACTAAAGAATAAAGTTTTGTGTAACAATATTTATTATTTATTATTGATGCTCATCAGGGACTTCAGACCCTCCTCCTCTCCCCATGGAGCTCTGAGGAATGTTGATGCTATTTTCTGCAGAACTGACATCATACCTGCTGATCTCTAACGTGGCGACAGAGATTATTTTTAGTTCTCAAACATAAACAATAAAAACAAACAAACATCAATGAGTAAAAACGAAAGCGTCAAGAAATGAAGCGAATCACAAAAATCAGCAGGTTAAAAAATGTCCTTGAAAACATTTTGCAGATTTAACACTGACAACACAAACAGGAAGTCAAAAAAAAAAACAATAAATAGTCAATAAATATAATCAATAAATAAAGAGATGATAAATAAACACAAAGAACAAGATATTGCTTTTTAAAAACAATTAAATAAAAAATAATAAATATTTATGAATAAAAACGTGACAACATTATGACTTTCTGTTGCCAGGTCATTTCCTGCTGCGGCTTCAAAATAAAAGCTGTACCATAAGGTTCAACTGAAGGAGCTTTTACTCTAAAGTAATAACAGCAGGAAGTGACCTCATTAAGACACGTTTCAAACTTGATTTGATTGTTTTCTGTACAGTGAACAGTAAAAAATGGCCCTGAGAGTTTGTGGTGAACGCTCCAGATGTTTCACTGAAGCTGATTCAAACTGAAACGGGACAGAAGTCGATCGGCTGTGGAGTTCGGGTTCAGATAATGACGCTGTTTTTTTCCTTCTCCAGCGTCTGCAGGTGAGAATAACCTCGGGCGTGAAGCAGGTCTGGACCTGCAGCCGGCTCCTTCTTCTTCTTCTGCGCCAGAATGATTAGGCACACATTCATCACATTCCTGCTGTGTGTTCCCAGCTGATCCCGGGACGATAGAGCGCTTCGACGTGCTGCGACACACAAAGCAGGAAACAGAGCTCCAACAGGCCGCCTTCACAATAAAACGTGTTGGCTGATCCTGCAGCTGCTGAAAACGAGGGATAAACTTCCTGTGTGTCATCTATCAGTCTTTAGTCCCGCTGCATCACGGAGGCGGGCGCTCATCAGGAGGTGATGATGATGAGACAAACAGTGTCAACAACTCCACGATCGATAAAGTTTCTCCCCTGAATCGTGCTAGCAGCTCTGATCCTGCAGTGGGCGGGGCTTAGCGCGTCCCACGAGCCATCTGCGTTTCGGCCATGTTTCTGAGGCTGCGGATCAGGTCGTGACAGAACTCGAGCAGCTGGCACAGCGTCAGGTGGGCTGCCACCTGGACATCGTAGTTGCCATGGAGATTCAAAGCCAAGTCCAGGCTGCTCTGATCTGAAGAGTCACTGCTCAGCTGAGCCGCGTCCTTCATCTGAAACACACAGCAAAGACCCAACAACTTGAATAAAGCCGAGAACTTCCTCTTTCAAAACAAGCACAAGTTCTGAGGAAGTGATGTCATAGGGTGGCAAGACAGTGGACACGTTCCACTAGGGTCGTGTCCAGATTCATGGGCTGCATCCTCCTGAGGACCCGGCCTTCGCGGTCTACGTGGGCCGGGTCCT